TGAACGCTGTCACGCGACGACATTTCCAAGATTCAACTCTCCCTAGCAGATGGTAATTTCGAGTTATTCTCTTTTTCAGCGAATCCTTCATTTTCCTTTCTCTTTTAATTCTATCTACTTCTATTTAGGATGGTTTTGAGCGCTTAGCAAGGCTTAAAGTGGCGTTTACCACGCTATCCTTGGCCATATTGGCAAAAGAGAAGTGTTTCGCGGAAATGGCAACTGAACGGTAAATACGGTAACTTTGAACGGTTTTTACAACGTCAGTATACTTTGGCCGAAAAATGTTTTTTCGAAAACGTGATCTATATCCCTCAATGTCTGATTCATCACTGTGATTGCTTTCAGTAGCGTTGGACTTTTGAGAAATTATTATTTTAAAATCAGCTCCAACGCTCCATCTAATTTAATATGCAATATTTGAAAATTTATTTTTCATTCCCTTCGGCAGTTTTTCGATGTTTATCGAATGATATTGCATTAAAAGGCCTTTTTCTTCATCACCGTGTGGTTTTCTCGTTATTTTGCGTTGCGATAGTGATTTCTGAACCGTTTTTTGCGAGGGCTTATTTTAGGCCTGATTTTGCTGCTATCAGACGGAAAAAGTTTGCGGCTCAATATTTTTGGTTTAAAGCGAAACTGAAACAAAAGAAATTCATTTTTGAATAGTATTCGGTAACCTCTACTTGGGAGATAAAAATCGGCCGATTTTATTTTTTAGCCGGAAATCATCGGTCGTTTCTTAGGCGCAGGGCCTCTTAAGAGGCTGTCCGCGTAAGAACCGATAAGGCAAATTTCGGTCTATCACGGATTGCCCTGATGTTTTCAGTTGAAGATAACTATCCTATCCCATGAAGAAATATCACATTTATTTGGACCAACTCAATTTTTTCTCCATATTACAAGAAGATTTTCTCGGTCACCTAAAACTGGCCAGTTTGCCGTCGGAAGTGGTGCGATTTTGGTGAAACTTTAGGGCTCTGTCAAACCTGCCTTACAAAGCCGAATAAGCTGATTATGTTACACATAAAAGTTTTAACTCTGATTAATAGTCTCAAGGTTTAATGGTTGCATTCTGTGGAAAGTTGGCTGAGATATCATTTTTTTAAAATGACCTTTAATTTGCTTATCGGGAAAAGTAATTTGCATAACTAGAGCTGAACGGTAATTTCGCAAAAGTGGCACCTGACCCAGACTCAAGTCTATGATAAAACAGAAGTACTAAGACCAGTCTACTTCTTAATGCAATAAAATTTGTGGGCACTCCTCTTTGCGTGCTGTACAAAGTTCCGTTAATGTTCCAACATTCGCCATTTTGACAGCAAAGCTGGAATTGTAACGGTCTGCATCTGGTCGACTAATTTCCACATCTTTAACGTTTCTAGTTATCACTAACTGTCATTAGACCCTTTAAATGTTGGACTTTCGAAAACATGTGAAGAAAACTTGGTAATCGCTTTTTTTTGGTTTTTTTTCATTGTCGACGAGGAACATGACTTCATTCTCCGTATGCAAATTAGCCTTAGATGTGTCGTTTCCACAAATTGACAGGAAATATATTACTTGTATTTCATATTTTTAAGGGAAAAATATCTCTTCTTTCCACAGAAAAACACGAACGATGTATGACTTAGAATCCCCTTAGGTCTGTTTCTTTTACGAGGAAGAAGCAGCAGAAGAAGATATGTTTACGCGAATTAAAATAATTTAATTACTGTGGCTCGTCACGCATTCCCCCAGAGTGACCGTGTATCGATCAGTTCTTTTATCTTATTATATTTTTTGGGGGGTGATAGTTATTGGTAATCTGGGCTGTGAACAGGCCTTTAGTCTTCACAGGCTATTGATAATCATACAATTTAATCATTGTTAATTCCGATTCTTTACTGAGTGGGAAATACCGTGCTGTTGTATTTATTCATTCTACGACCGTTTTAACTGAGTCAGTATCACCGGGCGCCACTAGGATAGGGTTTAATATGACGGCCTATGGTGTAATACACGACAATAAGCCAAAAGTAGTCACTTGGAAAAAAGAAAAAGGCATAGTTTTTTTGTTTACGGTCCGTCTCCTGTTAAATCCACAAAGTTTTTGCCGGCTGTTAATCACACTAAATTAAGGATCCCTATGTTGTCTATGTTTACTACTGAGCTGATGGAGAAAAACACGTGCACTCAGTGTATGAAAGACGAAAGTTTGTAAATTAGGTCTCCTTTTCTTTCCCTGGATTTGAACGGTATTTCAAAGTGACACAACTTATTTTTTTTTAGCATTACCCAGGCTGTAGCTAGGTTTTTTGTAACGAGGGGCATTATCGCGAGAGCCGAAGGCACGAGCCTTGTAGGGGGGCCTGGGGGTGTCCTCCCCCTGAAAAATTTTCAAATTTGCAGGCTCAGAAATGCTATTTTCAGCACTTGTCATGAGATATGTCTCCGAAACATAGACCTCGAAGATGAAAATGGCAAACATTTGCAAATCACTATAATCAAAATAACTGAGTCTAAAGAAAACAAATCCATCCACAGACTTGATTTGTCTGGCTCAACAGGTCCAGAGGAGGCAGCTGCTCTACGGCTCTGTTACCACGTTGAACTGACTAGGTTGATCTTTCTTTGACATACACATAGGTTGAAAGCTTCTGATTGAGGGTGTTGTGGTCTCAATTATTCTTCAGCGATTCCTGCAACAAGCTTTTGCCTTTCGAACACTTCGTCTTCTTGCAGCAGATCTCTATGGTCAAGTTCAATGTATATTCAAGTTCATTACATTGGTTATTTCGTCCATTGCCTTATTGTAATTACACTTAGGACTATGTTTAGGTGTTGACTCAAACGGGCCTAGAGTCCAACATGGGCTGGCAATAGGTGAGTGCTAGCACGGAATTGGAACGGGGGTGGGGGAAACTCCCTATGATGGCCTATACGGGGAGGCTCCGCCCGAAAGGGGTATCTTTTTCAGGTTTCAGGTATATGAAAGGGTAGGCTTTCACTAGGTGAAGTATATGAAAAGGCGAGTGCGCTTATTGCAGCCTTAGCAGCATCTTTGGCGGTTCTTAAAGAAAAAAGAACTAAGAAAAAGAGAGAAATCTTGTCCAATAAACCTCTCCGGCAAAGGTGTGGACATGGTTGCTGACTGATCAATCGTACTCTTCTCGACCCTTTGGCGTCAAGTTTTTTCACGTTTCTTGCCACAGGAGGAGCAAATCGGCTATATAAAGTTGAACTGAACATTCTGGTACTTTTAAGCCTCACTAATTTTTACAAAACCAGAGACATGTTTTAACACTGTTTAAGTTAAAAAAAATTGTTTTTATTGCAAGAATGAAATACTTTTCACACACGTCCCAGGGACATTCTTCTTAGAAAATGGCAGGGGCGGGAAAGCCCTGGAGACGAGGTTGAATCCTGGCTCCGTGTAGAAAGTTCTTTCTTTTTTCCCCATCTATGATGCTCTTCAAACAATCATCAGAAAACTATCTTTACAACACACGGATTAACCTTTATGTATAGTATTTTATAGGTAAGAATTGATTAGAGCAAGATACACAGCTGTCAAAAAGTAGAAATAAATGAACTATCTTTGCAAGCTCAACTGAACTGGAAACGAACATCAGAAAACATCGCAAGATAAAATGTTAAATGGAGAAATAAGAATATCTCTGTACGTTTAGAAATTTTTTGCATGGAAAAGAAAAAAAATGATACTTACATGATGGAGCAAAACTTTGACTTATTTCCTGCCACAGTAGTTACCTTGCCAGTATGATCCAGAGTGTGACCGGGGTATTGACAAGACCTTAGGCTCGATTTCCGCCGCTCCCAATCCCTTGGGGGCTCATTTTCCAGCACAGCGGCTTACAATCGAGCCTAATAAGACCTTGGCGCTCGCAAAAACCTGCCAAGTAGGTGTCTGTGCCTTGGGCAGATTGTCATTTTAGTGTTAGCCTGTGTACACACCACCCCCACCCCCTCGGAGAAGGGGCCCCTTCTCCGATTTTTCTTAAGGGGAGGGGGGGGGGCTGTACACAGGCTATTTATGGTCTGTGCCTTGGGCAGATTGTCATTTCAGTTCCGAATACCTACCAAACCTCTACCCTCGCTAAAATGAGTCCATTCAGTCATTGACTTTGCTACACTCAGACAAGTGACAGCTGGCTAAGTGCGACGTAATATCATTCATGCACTCTGCGACCAACACATTTCCCTCCACACCCCTACTGGGACCACACTCTGTCTTGACGATCTCGCGAAAAGAACAGCTTTTTTTTTTCACAATTGATCTCTTCGGCGATTTCAATGACATAATTATATTTGAAACTGGCACCTGTTGCATTATAATTCAATTAGATTGAAACCAAAACAAGATCATCTTGGGAATACGGATGTTATACCCTAACAAAAACTAAAAACTGAGATAATCCCTTTTCGTGTATTTACTGTAAAAAAAGCTATTTTTCCCGTTTCATTCTGCTACCGATAAACGCTTTAAAGATCTTTGAATGAAACTGAAATTTACAGCTAATTTGCCTTTTGCAAAGCTATACATGGATTAAGATAGAAAAAAAGTGTGGGGCATTTTTTTTTATCATAGTGCCGTGTACAAAGATCTGATAAGCAAAAAAGAGTGCCCACAAATTTTATTGTGTTGACAAGAGGACTTACCTTGCAAGTTAACTCTTATTTTTAATTATTATCAATAACTACCATTTAAAAAAAAAAAGATAATGTAATAAAATTGATCGATTCAAAGCTATTGTTTTCTAATCGACCGCCCCTCTCTAGGAATGCGTGACAGGCCACAGTAATTGAATTATTTTAAGCCACGCAAACATATATCATGATATATTATTCAGCTGCTTCTTCCTCGTTAAACAAAAAAAAAAACAGACCTTAAAGGGATTCTAAGTGATGGTTCGTGTTTTTCTGTGGAAACGAGAGTTATTTTTCTCCTTAGAAAGGTGAAATGTAAGGATTGTTTCATGTCAAGTTGTTGAAACGACGCATCTAAGGCTAATTTGCATACGGAGAATGAAGTCACGTTCATCGTCGACAAGAAAAAAAAACAAGAAAAAGCGATTACCAAGTTTTCTTCACATGTTTTCGAAAGTCCAACATTTAAAGGGTCTAATGACAGTTAGTGATAACTAGAAACGTTAAAGATGTGGAAATTAGTCGACCAGATGCAGACCGTTACAATTCCAGCTTTGCTGTCAAAATGGCGAATGTTGGAACATTAACGCAACTTTGTACAGCACGCAAAGAGGAGTGCCCACAAATTTTATTGCATTAAGAAGTAGACTGGTCTTAGTACTTCTGTTTTATCATAGACTTGAGTCTGGGTCAGGTGCCACTTTTGCGAAATTACCGTTCAGCTCTAGTTATGCAAATTACTTTTCCCGATAAGCAAATTAAAGGTCATTTTAAAAAAATCATATCTCAGCCAACTTTCCACAGAATGCAACCATTGAACCTTGAAACTATTAATCAGAGCTAAAACTTTTATGTGTAAAATAATCAGCTTATTCGGCTTTGTGAGGCAGGTTTGACAGAGCCCTAAAGTTTCACCAAAATCGCACCACTTCCGACGGCAAACTGGCCAGTTTTAGGTGACCGAGAAAATCTTTCTGTAAAATAGAGAAAAAATTGAGTTGGTCCAAATAAATGTGATATTTCTTCATGGGATAGGATAGTTATCTTCCACTGAAAAAATCAGGACAATCCGTGATAGACCAAAATTTGCCTTATCGGTTCTTACGCAGACAGCCTCTTAAATCGGGTTAACGCCCGTTACACGGAGTCTTTTTTTTTTGCCCCTTTGTGTGACTTATGTTAAAACTAATTTAAGCTGCGACTTAAGCCGCAATTTTATTGAAAGCAATATTTCAAGGTTGCATAACAAAGTGTATAAAACTTTAACCGGCTCAGCTCTACGTCTCGATAGGTCATTCCCACGCATGAAATACATATGAAATCGCTGGTAGTTTACAGGCGCAAATATACCCTCTAGGAATAAGTTTTTGTTATTTCGTTCGAAAAGTGGGGGGTGGCCGGGGAGCAAGACAAGCCACCCCCAGCGCAAATACTAATCATAACTCACTCACTAATTAAACGATAAATCAGGATAACTCCTGTAAGGGTATGGCAACGATTAACAAATTAAAACGACTGTATTAATTTTTAACTAAGTGATACATTATATCCACTACCCTTTTGTGGCTGGCCTGTTATGGTATTCACTGAACAATTTAGACAGTTCGCTAAAACCATTAGAAAACTCGGGAACATTCAACTTGCAAATTTCACGCTCTTTTCTTCTGTCGGCGTGTTATGGGAGGGAGAACTGCTCCTTGTCTGCTCACTGTTGCCCTCTCCTCAGTCTTGATTCTAATTATTTCAAGGCAGCTGCCGTGCGTCTGTAGGGTGGCGCCTAGAGGAAGCAGCGCAGCTTGCATGGTAACAGCCATACTAGAAGTCAGCGTAGGAAACATTTGTGCATGGCTCGTCAGGTTATCCTCGAGAGGTGTCCTGCGATTCCCAGCAGACAAAGAGCGGAGGGGTGGTAGAGTGAAGCGGTTCGGTTCCCTAAAGAGTGCTTGACTTCCTGTTTCAAGATATGAAGGTTTCCCAGTTGACAGCGGGACTTCGTTCCATGCTTGTCGCTTACATATGGCCAGGGACATATTATTCTTGTCAGACGTCTCTTCACTGTTTTCCACTGGAGATTTAAGACATGGTGTTATATTGAACTCCTCATGCAGTGAGGTGTCTTGCTGATTTTTGTGTTGACCTGGCAGATGGAAGAAACCTTTATCATATGCATCTTTCACTTGTGCCCAGTGCATCTCTGCTTGTCTCCTGATTAATTCCTCCTGGAGAGAAATGTCTGAACCAGTCAGCTGATATCCTGTAAAAGATAGAAAAAGGTATTTAAAGTGCCTGGCAGTATTTCTTGTGAATCAATAGATCAACAAACACTCCGTTAGCTATTCGACTGAGTAGAATTAGAACGCCATCAAATTACACCTCATCAATTTCAATCAGTTCTCCGAAAAAAAAAAAAAATAAAGAATTCGCGGGGCCACTTGTTTAAAAGTCATTATGACTCAAAAACGGAATGAGCTTCTGTCATTTATTATCATAGAAGTCTGCTAAAATTTCAAAGCCTTAAAGGAGAAAGGCCTTAGTTTCAGGGGGACGCTATTGTCGATCCAATTACAGCTGATAGGAAAGCAAGTTTTACACGTATCCTTGCTTGAAAATCAGCTGCAAATACCCATATTGCAGTGGTGGATCCAAACATTCAGATAAGGGGGGGAGGGGTAGGGACGGTCAACGACGAGCTTTATTTGCATGACCATACAAACACCAAGAAAAAATTTTTTTGCCCTGGGTGGGGGCTTCCCCTAGATCCGCCAAGGTATTGTCCCCAGAGACTCCCCTCTTAGACGAAGTCCTGGGAAAGAGGTTAAGCTGGCACCCACTTGCAATTTATAATCCCAGCTTACTTTTAAGAGAAACTGTTTCTTGCAGAGGGTTTCCAGGGAGGGGACTGTTTCGTCTGGGCTCCCCACCGTCTCCTCCTAAGATTGCAAACACTTGGTCATCCTGTAGCACCTTATTCACCAGTGAGCTCAAGACCACTGCTACGTATTGCTCCCAAGAAGTGTTTCCATGGTAACGCTGAGTGCCAATCACGCCTACAATTGAGATCCATTCTTTACCCAGGACTTTGCAGCATTCAAGTATATCTGCGAAAAGAACATGTCAACTTTATAAGATGCAGCACTTTTAGGTTAATTTCACGTTTCCTTTTGATTTGGTTAACAATTTCTTTATAAAAACCAATAAAAAGAATGTTTTTTTTGCAAGAAAAAGAGACGACAGAGACGCGAAATTTCACCAAAATCTTTCAGCCTCATTGAAGTCTAAGTTTATGAGCACTACTACCCACCTAAGCTTGAAGTTCTCACAGCTACTGCGGTAGCTCTCTCATTCTTTGTGAAATCTCCCATCTGAAATACTTTGCCAACATGGACAGCTTGCTTGCGGTACTTGGGCGGTTTCCATCCATATTTGCCATTTTCGAACACGTTGATCAAACATTCACTACACGCTAGGCTTTCAAGTTTTCCAAGTTTGGGGTTCTTTCGAGCTATCGCTTCTGCCACAATCACGTCCCCGATCTCGTACGGCCTGTTATGAGGACATTTCCCGAACCCGAGAAAGATTCCAGCTTTGGGTTTCAGTGATTTGACGGCCTGGATAACTGCAAATGGCTCGCCTCTAGCTTTGAGTAAAAACACAAGGCGGGAATTAATTCTTCCAAAGTAAACGTACCCAGCCCCTCTTATCAACACGGCCTTCAGATCTTTCAAAATGCTCGCGATTGCGAGAAATATCAACTCGTTTTCGGCGATCAGCAATGCGTTCGTTGGGATGTAAATTTTGTCAACTTCAACTGTCTCGTATGAGAGTTCTTGTGGAAGCAGTGCGCAAACGGAGGGAGGTCTGATTGGCAATCCGGTTCCGGCCATATCACAGATATCAGGCACTGAACGATCCTGGCGAAGAAAAAGACAGGTTTTTTCTTCATCTCCTTCCGTAACCTATACAAAAAGCTTAGTGGCATATACTGATGTACTTATCCGCGAGTTCACAAGATAAACTTCAGTAAGCATTTTAGAAAGTATCCTTAAGAAGCACAGACAATTCTCTTTTCGTGAGCTAACTTGAAGAATGCGTTCGTTCCACGCTCCCATAACATATTTTAAAACATATACTCCTCTGGCGCCTGGGGTACTAATTCGGCGCTTTAGAAAGGTTAAAAGAATTTAACCGTGTGTTCCTGTAAGGTTTAAGCAATGTATCAGACGCTGAAATGTAGCGAAACAAATTTCATCTTTTTTTTTTTAAGAAATCACAGTTATAATTGAAGGGAATAGACTCTAGAACATCTATTGTTCTCTCGAAACAACCCTGTTGAAAAATTACAATATCAAGCTGTTAAAAACCGACCACGGAAGACCAATTCACCAGAATTTGCTTTATCAGCAACTTCTACTAGGGCCACTCTACTCAGTTACCACAGTAACAAAATATAAATTACAATAACAACTGCGACTTACACCCCTCAGGTTGCCGACAGTGAGGCGTGCCAAGTCTATCACTACTAATATATACAGTTACTAGCATTCCATTGATGGAAAATAGAACAGTTAAAATGTTGTTATTATATACACGCCTTTTCGCAATCAAACGAACAGGTATAATTTCTCGAGCCCAAATTCGTCACCAAATAACCATTTCACGATAATATGTTTATTTTTATTGTCGGATATATTGATAAATCAGCCTTTAGGCACGAGCCTGATGACAACAGGAGTTGAAGGGTGATATACTCAAGAAACTATCCAAATAATCTGTAGAATCCCAAATCGTACTCTTCACTCTATTTCACTTAAAAGAAAATTGAATTTTCACACTTCGTATTAAAACCGGTGACTAAAACGGAACTTCCGCAAGGCGAGACTAGTATTGCACCTGATAAATTCTTGGTTCTCAAAAATAAACGCCGTAACCTATTAGTCAACCAGACGAAGTATGGGGTCCTCAAAAATACTCTTGACGGCGATAAGAAAAGATCAATTTCCTGCCGTGATGAAAAATACGACCGCATTGATATTGACGAGCACTATTTTACTTATATCTCTATTTAACCAATAATGAGGACATAGTTGTCATAACAGGATAAACGTGCCTCACGATTGACTGACTAAGGCTCCAACTTTTCATGGGCCGGATCTAATTATTACATTTGGTACTCAAATTTAATCTGCCGGAGCTCGTAAGATTACCTGGGTAGGTCCGACCCACTTGTAAAGAATTCGTCACGGTTTTGTAAGATCTGCACCGGAGTCTCCAACCCGCAGCCTTGCACCGCAAACCGACACTGCTTCGCTATGATCTCGAACAAAACCAGTCTTCTGCATAATAATCTATGATTCATCCTTCACCTATGTATTAATCAGCATTTGCGGTTTTTTGCTGCTTATATTACAGGAAGTGTTTACCGGGTTAAACAATGAAAAGGTAGCTTCTTTAGGGAGGGGCTTTCCCTTTCCTTTACATTATTAAGTATTGTTTTATGAAATTTACAACGGCCCTTTGTGTTTAGCCAACGCACCGTTGCAATTGAAAGAGCGTCTTATGCATTACTTTTCTCTTATTAACTAATTAATTTGTTAGCTGTGTTAGGATTTTACATAAACTAGTCTTCGAACATATTTCATAAATTCCTTGCTTAGGGTGAGGTTTTCTTAAATTGACAAAAAGAAAATATCATGGTGAATATTACAAGGGTACCCAACGACTATTTTCTGTAAAACAAACTGTTCGGAGAAGCAAATATTGTCTTCCTAGCATTTTATATCGCTTGAATACGGCTAAAAATGTCTTGATGAACGCTCCATTCAGGTACATTTTTCGAAGCTTATCTAAAAAAATAATTTTTCGTATTTTATTCCTCATGTTAGGCTACTTTTCGTAGGAAAGGAAACCTAAAATTTTCGGATTAAAAAATGTGATGGAGGGAGGAATAAGAAAAATTCTCACTGAAAAAGTTCAAAATCTTGCGTCAAGAATTTTCGGAAAAATAACACTGAACCCCTTGCAATTTCGAAAAGCCTCAAGTTCCCCTAGGATGACCGAACAGAAACAAATTTTATAGCGCCGGTTAGAGATCCTACTCTGGATAGCCTAAAACGATTTGGTATGTATTAGGTTTCCACACATTTCAAGTACCGATAAAGAGGTGTCAGGGCATTCATTAATCCTCAAACAATCCATGATAAATATTCTTCCTCTTGAATTTCAACACCACTTATTCCGTGAAAATATCATGTTCTTTAATTATTATTTTATTCATATCATTAATAAAAACAATATGTCAAGAAGTCGCTTGGACGATTTTATACGGCGAAAAAGGAGAAGATGCTTAAAATCAACCATCTGAAAAAATGCAAACTTAAGCCTAAGCCAAACGTCGAAGTTTTGGTTTCCAAAATCTGACACGTGAGTTTATCGATGACGCAATTTCGGTAATTCCCTCCGAAATTTGTAGGCGTCTTACAAACGCCGCCAAACATTGCCTGAATGAAAATGGCGAGCAAAAGATTCGTCAAGAGTTTACTGAAGAGGAAATTGCGTAAATTCATTGGAGCCTCACTCTGTTGTTATTAAAGTGGGCCCTTGAGAAATGAAGCTTTGTTGTTTTTAAACTCAGTTTTACAGTTCCTCCAACCCCTTTCCCCTGCTCCTTACAACTGCCACACGTCTTTGAATTCATGGTAAATGGTACGTCAGTTTCTTTATTATGAAGAAATTAAATGGCGATGTCTGACATGTCTTTTAATCCAGGTAATGAAAAGAACATTACAAGGCGGCTTGAAGATATGAATTTTATTTTTTCGTGGCAAAAACAATATTTCACTCACTCGCTACGCTCGATCCTAAAGCCACTCGAAAAGAAAATTCATATTTTCGCGCCACCGTGTAATATCTTCTATCTCTCTTAGGATATTATGTAGGGCTGGTGTGGCCCAAGATGACATTCTTAACGTTTATCTAAATGCGGGAAGACCTGTATTAGCATGCTCTCCCTGTATGGCAGGCTATTCCGGACTATTTATCCGATGTCATCGAGGGAGTCCAAAGAAGGGGCTTTGAGGATTACTTACCCTGAAACTGAGTCCTATAAGGAGGCCTTGCAATTAGTAAACATACCAAGTCTAAAGAGAACTAGTCTGCCACGCAGCCGTTTTTAGAGTTGTCACGCAACGCTCCTCCCCACTATAATGTGGGGAGGAGCATTGCTTGACGACACTAAAAACGGCTGTGTAGCAGACTAAAAGAGAACCGGATGAGATGACCTTTGTATTAAGTACATGGATAAGATGAAGTCTAAAGACCATTCTTTACACTTCTTATTGCCAAGGCCACTCTTTAATCAGCCCAAGTACAATCTAAAGAAGAACGCAGACAGGTTCTATTTGTTTATTGAGTCTATTACCGGTAGGACAAAGAGGGCAGATAACATTTCTACATTTCGATATTTTAACTAGTATGATTAATTTTTATTATGATCGATTTTTTTTATTGTAGTATTTTGCAATTTATTATAACTCGTTAATTCAGTTTCTTGTACTGCAAGAGAGTTTTAATAAACTATAATTACTACATTACTACTAAATATTACTATTTATTCAAGCAATTTACTACTCGAAAATTAGACAAGTACTGGGCTGAGTGGTATTATTGGGGCTGTAAAATCAGACCCTGACAAATCGCTCGCAAATGAAACCATAAGGTAGTTAAGGGTCTCAAAACGTAGGATCACGACAATGTAAACAACAATTATGTTTATGACAAATTTAAAACATCGCAAATAAAAAAAAAATCCTTATTAAACAGGTAATATCACTTTAAGTCGTACACCCCTTACCCACTTAGCTTTTATATCTTGACGGAGCAGTCTATTTTTCATCTCAGCTTTTCCTCTAGTTGCCAAAATCAGAGTTCAAGACATGTCATTTTGTAAAATCCTAAATAATGGTGTCGTGTGAAACCCACTGTATATAATGGAAGACAAAAGAACTTTGGACAGCTGGAAAAATCGTTCCCTGATAATTGTTACTTACGACTGTGCTCCTAATGACAATTTTTTGATCGGCGCTGGGTTCATCCCTTCCGTCTTCAACTCCCCCAGCAATGTTGCGCCCCAAATATCCACTTTGCTCAAAAGTTATTTTTGTTTGGGTAGGAGGGGTGAGGTCGCCAATTTTACTAATATTACTAGGAAACGGGTCCCAACACTTTTGTCCTCCACTGCAGAAAAAGCTTCACTTGAATGCGCGATCACTTCATACAAATTCATCCACACTGGAGACAAAAGTAACAGCTATGACATTACATGCCTCCATGTCTTCTGTATCTAAGCAACATAGTTACCTTACTCGAAGTACGCCTTTAATGCATAAATTTTAACGTCTCACGTAATTAACAGCAAACATCTGACGTTCATCCCATCCAAACTGTTTGTTTTAACACGTTACCAGCGACATCATCATCTTAGTCAAACTCTTCATTTTAACGCCAGACGTTAGCAGTTCCCGACATTCAGCCCACTCAAACTCTTTATTTTAACGCCGGAAGTCAGCACTCCGTCTGACGTTCAGCCCATTCAAACCCTTTATTTTAACGCCAGACGTCAGCAGTTCCATCTGACGTCCGGCCCATTCAAACTCTTTATTTTAACGCCAGACAAAGGCAGTTCCGTCTGACGTTAGATTTATGCGTCTGGCCCCTGAATCCAGTTCTCCAAGGGGAGGGTCGGAGGGACCGAAGACGTTTCAAAGTACTTAGCTTACTGCTATAAAATTATAAGATAACCCCTGACGGTCGCTTACGGCTTTCATCCCGTAGCCTAAAAATAGAACGTGCGTTTCCTGTTGCTTTTAAACTATGAAGTTTAATATTGAAAAAAGTTATTTTACCCCTTAAGAGAAGAGACGATTGCTTCAAAGCTCGTTTCGTAACGAGTAGAATGTCACATAACTGGGCGTATCATGACGGCATAGGTCTACGTAGTACAGATCAATGTGCAACGGCGTGGAAGGATTAAAATGATTGGCTTTACCTGGGAGTACAAGTTGAAGCCCTCTGAACTAAAATACCTGGATCAGCCCATGGAATAAATATAAAAGCTATGACCTTGTCCAACACTTGTTGGATGTTACTTGGAGAGGATAGGACATCCGTCTCTTGATGGTCTTACCGGAATGATATTGCTATAATTAGCTTACACACGATTACGGTATGTCTCACCCTTTTCCATTTATTTCTTACCTTGTTATAAAATTGTTATAATTAATAAAAAAATGGAGGAAAAGTTCAAATACAGATACTAATGTCTAGAACATAACTGTCTCTGTGAGTTGAAGGATAAATCTGCATAACCCTCGCTTGCACAGGGTGGCAATTCAGGAATTTAAACGTCGACTGGATTAATTTCTAACTTACTGAGCCATTGTACTATACTCGCTTTCTGGTTGGGCTGTTATGACATTTATCAAGAACTTTTAAGTTCATTGACAAGTGACTTTGAAAAGTCACTTGTCAACTTTATTGAACTAGTCAGTTCGCTACAACCGTTACTTTAGAAGTCACGGGAACGTTTACTCGCAAACACTACACATCACACCCTTTTCTTCTGCCGGGTTATGGAAGGGAGAACTACTCCTTGTCTGCTCACCGTTGCCCTCTCCTCAGTCTTGATCCTGATTATTTCCAGGCAGCTGCCGTGTGTCTGTAGAGTGGCGCTTATTGGAAGCAGTGCAGCTTGCATGGTAACAGCCATACTGGAGGTCAGCGTAGGACAAGTTTGCGCATGGCTCGTCAGGTTATCCTGAAGAGATGTCATACGATTCCCAGTAGACAAAGAGCGAAGGGGGGGTAGAGTGAAGCGATTCGGTTCCCTAAAGAGAGCTCGACTTCCTGTTTCAAGATCTGGAGGTTTCCCATCTGCCGAGACGTCGTTTGACATTTGCTCACGTACCCGTATGGCCGATAAGCTATTAGCCTTGTCAGTTAATTCTTCGCTATTTTCCACTGGTGATTTAACAGTTGGTGTTATACTGAACTTCTCTTGCAGCAAGATGTCTGACTGGGTTTTGTGTTGACCTGGTAGATGGAAGAAACCTTTATCATATGCATCTTTCACTTGTGCCCAGTGCATCTCTGCTTGTCTCCGGATCAACCCCTCCTGGAGGGACAAGTCTGAACCCGTCAGCTGAAATGCTTTAAAAAGATGGAAAGTGGTATTTTAAGTGTCTGACAATACTACTTTGATTAAACAACACGCACACTGTTAACTAGTCGACAGTGCAATAATGCCATCAAATAATACCCGATCAATTTCAGTCAGTCTTTTTAAGAAAAGAATTTACACACCTTAATTTTAAACAAGTTTACCTTCAATGCAATAACTACAAACGTAGCAACAGTGCCATCTGCTTTAAAGTCCTTATGACTCAAAATTAAAACGGCTTTGTTTTCTGCCATTTGTTTTCAAGAAATCACTATCAACTAACTTTGCTAAACGTTCGTAGCCTTCCAAAGCCGGAAGGCATTAATTCAGAAGGACGCTATTTACGAGAGCAGCTAATAAGACCGTGAGTTCAACAAAGATCCTTTTTTAAATTCTAGATCTTCTTTAGTGATTACTTATCGCAAATATCCAGGGGACAAGTCAAACAAATCATAAAAAAGAGGTTGGAAAAAAAGGAGAGTAGCACCAACCAGACCCTGGGAAAGAGGTTGAGCTGACACCCATTTAATGATCCCAGCTTACTTTTAAGAGAAACTGTTTCTTGCAGAGGGTTTCCAGGGAGGGGACTGTGTCGTCTGGGCTCCCCACCCTCTCCTCCTAAGATTGCAAACACTTGGTCATCCTGTAGCACCTTATTCACCAGTGAGCTCAAGACCGCTGCTACGTATTGCTTCCAAGTAGAGTTTCCATGGTAACGCTGAGTGCCAATCACGCCTACAATTGAGATCCATTCTTTTCCCAGGACTTCGCAACATTCAAGTATATCTGCGAAAAGAACATGTCAGCTTTATAAATGCAGCTATTTTGCATCATCTTCACGCTTCCATTTTATGGGGTTCACAGCTTCTTCAAAAACTCCATGAACCTTAAGTAAGAAAATTGTCAATCAACGTAATAAAACCGAAATATTCCAGCTGAATCCGGTGCTAAGACTTTCATTAGCTTGGTAGATTATGATTAGCGATTGTTGTTGTTGTTGTTCCTCGAAAAGGGTATTTATATAGGCGTAGATTGTAACATTGCAATAGCATATTAATGGTTCTAGCTTAATAAAGAGCACGAGTGAAGCTGACGAGATTGTTTGCCCCGCCAATGTAATGACTGTAATGTTCTGTCGACTGTGACACGGACATAAACAGTAAAGTAATGACATAAAACAGAAATTAGGTCCTTCACGGATGGTCTTCAATGGGGATCCTTTGGCAGTTACACCTCCAACATTTAACTTTCAGTCGCAAAAAAGTCAACCGTATTAAATTAAAGTTCGTAACAATTTGTCATTTTCTACTGGTGTTCCGATAAATTGTTAAATGTTTCTTATATCGTCACAGTCTGTTAGTTTCTTCTTTTCATTCTCGAATGGTGCGCAAGCTAGTGAGCGATGCCTTATATGTTAAGGTTTGTGTGGCACTATACTGACCTAACCTCGAAGTTTTCACAGCTACTGCACTGGTTTTCTCATTCTTTGTGAAATCTCCCATCTGAAATACTTTGCCAACATGGACAGCTTGTTTGCGGTACTTGGGCGGTGTCCAGCCATATTTGCCATTTTCAAAAACGTTGATCAAACATTCACTGCACGCTAGGCTTTCAAGTTTTCCAAGTATGGGGTTCTTTCGAGCTATCGCTTCTGCCACAATCACGTCACCGATCTCATACGTCCTGCTATGAGGACATTTCCCGAACCCGAGAAAGATTCCAGCTTTTGGTTTGAGTGATTTGATGGCCTGGACAACTGCAGATGGCTCGCCTCGAGCTTTGAGTAAAAACACAAGGCGGGAATTGATTTTTCCGAAGTAGATATACCCGGCCCCTCCAATCAGCACAGCCTTTCGATCTTTCAAAATGCTTGCGATCGCAAGAAATATCGACTCGTTTTCGGCGATCAAAAGCGCATTAGTTGGGATGTAAACGTTGTCAACATCAACTGTTTCGTATGAGAGTTCTTGGGGTAACAGTGCGCAAACGGAGGGAGGCCGGTTTGGCAAGCTGGCCATTTCAGTGTCTGAATGATCCTATAGAAAAAAAAAAAGAGTTTCTTCCTTATTAATCCCACTTAGGATCTGGGTAAGCTAGGAAGAACTTGTTGTGGAGACATTTTCCGTGCTGGAGCTATCCTGGTGTTACATGAAGAAACGTCATGTTTACAAAGAGATTGGAAGCAGTGCGCATGCGCATTGTGTTATCCGCTCTCCTTTTGCTGGTTTGGTTCCCCGGACTGGCCCGGCGAGCGTGATTACATGGAAAATATCCAACTCAGTTAGCCGGGATCTCGGTATAATCCCAACTAACAGGACTGGCTCGTTTGTCATGTAATCACAAAGTTGATTTTTGTTGCGTTTAACTAACGCACCGAGTTCTTGGCAAAGCGAGCCTGCCCGGTTCATGTAATCAGCCCCTTAGGGTGATTTCTACTGTCGAGTAATTTTTACGTGCGTGTACTTGCACGGAAAATTTATTCACGTAAATAAAAGAGAGGCAAGATACAAAGTGTTGAGCTTAAACGTGAAGTTGAGCGAAAATCAACGAGTAAAATTTACGTGCGTGTACACGCAAGTAAAAATTACGTGACAGTAGAAACCCACCCTTAGGGTTAAACAAGGTAGCAGACGCGGAAATGTCTAAATAACAATATTCATTTTTTAAATCACAGTTATAATTAGCTTTCAATAGCAAGTCATTCCTCGTACTGTCACAAGACTAAATGCGTCATTTTTGTGTAGAAAGCTTTTTAGGTTCTGAAAACTTTTAACTTCCTAAATATTGGTAACTATGTCAACGAGTTCTTGACCTTGAAGGACATTTAGCTAGGAAGTCCTAGTATGTAGGAAGTCAACTGTTTTTATTTTCCCACGCACAATCTTACGCATTATAGCCCTTAACTCTACATTGGCTGTAGACAGTGTCTGATTATTGACTTAAAATATCGACTTAGTTCAGTATAAAGTTATTAAGTTTTCGAACAAATAGAACTTATCATTGTCCCACAGAGTAAATTCCGGGTGTGATTTTGCGCAAATCTGAAACTTTACTGCTGGGAAATTTTGTCCTCCAAGTTGACAAATAATCTGTCGTTAAACCATCAGTCTTGGTTTCGGAATCATGAATAAGGGCGCTATCTTTGTTTACTTTTATTGCAGTCGGAAACTGTTTTTCCAGCGACATTGATTAAGGTAAGTTTTCCTTAAAGGTGTCAAAACTTATGTGATGTAATTGCAGCATGGTAAAGTTCCTTTGCAATATAGATTCTATTAACCACGAAGAAAAAGATTTGCAAAAGACTTTCGGACATACTGGTGTGTTCATGATAGTAAGAGGTAGTGGAAGCCGAACTAGTAATAAATGGAAGTTATATTAGTAAGAGCCAAGTACATGAAGAAGCTAGACAGGAGGAAAAAACATTGTGAGAAAAACAAAGAGCAACGGACAATGAACTTCCGTCCCAAGTAGTTGCGCAATAACGAAGGTCAGAAAAAATTAGAACAAGGAAGCTGTAAGCGTTAATAAGCCCTTAGTTTGGTGATGAGTCGTCCTGGCTTCCTACTGCAAGTGGCCATCACTTCACACTACACCTTGGGAAGCAACTCTCTCTCAAAAATACAACTATGTTATGTAATTTATGAAAACCGACTAGAGATGACTTCACCAGAATTTGCTGTATCAGCAGCTCCTCCTGGACGCATTATACTCATATACTCAGTTACCACAGTAACAAAATATATAAGTTACATAACAAAAGGCACTTGTCAACCATCAGGTTCCCTACAGCGCGTAAGGCGTGTTATGTCTATTGCTACGAATGTAAACAGTGCACTAGGATTCCACTGATAGAACTAGAACAGTTAAAAAAGGTTGTTACTATAGTCGAGCCTTATAAATAGTAATCAATTCAACAAGCAGAATTTCTTGAACTCAAATTCATCCCAAAATAATCAGTTCACGAAACAGTAAGACCTTGATATAACGAGTCTCCTTATGGCGAAGTCCTCGGTATAAAGTCAGTAGAACGATATTCTTCGCCCCAGTAATAGTAAATATATGGAAAATAACCTTGATAAAACGTTGACTCATTCATACCAAACATATTTTGCCAGACCGCATGGCCCTTCGTTATATCGAGGTTCCACTTTACTATGTTTTGTTACTTAAGGAGAAGGGGTCTTATACAAACAGTGGCTGGTGATAGACTTAAGAAGCCATCTACATAATTCACGAACCCACATCGTTTCCTTCTCTTTGTTTCATTTAAACAGTTAACTTTTGCACAGCAAGAATCTTTCGTATCAATACCTGAACGAAAACGGAAAGCACGGCGCAGCTATACTCCTGATATAAATCTTGGCTCTAAAAAATAAATACAGAATGATAAACAGTAAAACAAATGACGATGAACAGAGTCCTCAAGAAAAAACAAACACTTGAATGCGCAAAGAAAAGATCGATTTCCTGCAGTGATTACAGGGACATTTAGCTGGAACTTTTGCGGAAAAATATGCGACCGCACTGATATTAATAAACCCATCTTTACCAGCTATTTAACCACTAATGAGCAGAATTCCTCATAACAGGATAAACAAATTCCTCGCTACCAACCGACTAAAGCCCGATCTCTTAATATGCCGAATCTAACGATTATATTCGGCACATGAAGTTTAAGTTTAATCTGCCAGCCTTATAAGATTTTTACCTGGGTAGGTTCCTCTCACTTGTAAGGAATTCTTTACAGTTTCAGAATTGCATCTGCTCTCGAGTGTCCAATCTTGTAGATGTACCGCAAACACACTGCTCCGCTACGTATTCCCGAACAAAGCTATTACATATCCAATTTATGATCCTTTTTCACTTATGGGTGAATCTTTTTATATAACAGGAAGTGTTAACTGAATGGGGTGTGTTGAGCAATCATGTAGCCTTTTTTAGGAAGGGACTTACAAACTTTGTTTTTGACCAATAGAGAGGAGAAGTCCTTACGTCACGTTGCCATGGTACCAAAAATTTGGGGTGACAACAAACCGAAAAGGTCACTTAAAAGTCTATTCGCACTATTCTAAACTTCACCGACCTTCAATTTCATTTAATTTGTCCAATCTTTACGAAATTTTCTTTCCGACCGTATCTATCGTTATCTAAGTTAAGAAAAAGAAAGCGACAATTTTTGTATGTGTTCACCTACTCCATAAAGCGGGCTCTTCAAAGTAGGAAGTTTCATATCGTAGTGGTGCAACGACGGCAA